CCATACCCAAATCTCTAAAAACGGGGCTGCAACGGAGCTGATTATTATTTGAATTTTTCTGACGTCAGAAAAGGGGTGCTACGCCTATATGGGCAACTCTCCACCTATCAGGGGAATGAGAGACAGCTCGAAAGCGCTGGAGACGCTGTAGTACATATGCCAGGCCTGTAAGTGGCGCTGTAGTCTGCCACAAAAGCAAAATCAGCCCTTGCAAAAACAGGGCGAAATGAGGCATGGCTAAAATGCATGATCTGTTTGGTATTTTGAAAACTTCACAGACATGTTTTATATAGGTATGGCCCTACAATATATGTTTCAAATATAGCATGATTAGTCCACTTTAACTTGTCTGGTCTCCCATCTTTGTTGCAGCCTATGAGCCAGGTATGCACAGACATTCAGCACAGTCTCTGACTTGGTGGCCGGCAGTAGCTTAAAAGAAGAAATAATTGTATTACACAAATGAAGAATATGGTAAAGAAGAGATATTAAATGTAGTGGCCCAAACACACAGTATTTTTTGATGAATGAGAGTGCAGAAACTATACAACCCAAAGAAATGCGACCTTCATGTTGTGTCTTTATGCGTGGTGAAGAATGGTCTGGCTTCAACATGTAGATGGTACAGTAGATATGGATCCAAATTGAAACAAACATCCTAAATGCAGCATCTGCAGTGGTGAGTCAGAGGGCAGAACAGGGTGTTCTGCATTCATCCGAGGTCTGCACGCTCTTTGAAGGAGGTTTGAAGCTTTTATTTGATTGGGTCGGTGATGCTGAAGCTCCAAATACTAGGTATTCGATCATGAGGGATGGAAATTACAACGAGATCCAAATCATCAAGGTACAGTTTATTATTGTGTCCAGAGAAACCTATTTAGAAAGAATTTCAAATTAATTTCTCAAGTGTAGCAGCCTATTTTGAAGTAAAAAAAAAAGAACAGTGCATGCGGAATTTTAATAACATAGCCAAGCTCTATCAAACTTAGACGGAGCATAATATTGGGGAATAATACACTGGGCAATTATAGATTACATTTTGCAGTTGACATTTTTAAATTATACTAAACTGGTTAATGGCTCATTAGCAAATTTCAGCCTCACCACACAACACAAATTAAAAACAGAACTTCTAAGGTAATATAACAAAAGAGAACCATTTGAGCCAAACACTACTTAACAGTCATCTAAAGGCTTGATCTAAATATTTCAATCAAAACAATGTATTATGGAAATGTGACAGGGCCTGTGAACTAGCCTAAGACTTTGCTAAATAAATGATTCGGTTTTCTCCGTAGTTGTTTCCTAGCAAGTTTGCCGTACAACCAAAAAAGGTTAAATTATTTCAATGTAGTGTTCACAAAGTGTATTGTACAGAAACTCAGTTATTGCATTATGACGCTCGACTGCTGTTTTCAAGCACTATAAGGTGTGAGTCATGAGCACGGCTGTCTTTCATGCCACAACGTCTAAGACCCAAGGGAGTTAATAAATATAAATGCAGAAAGCAAGTGTTGAAAAATGATAGACCCTCTCACGCATAATGTAGTCAGCTTGCTTAAAGAAAAAAAGGGGTTACATTTGAAGACTTGTCAAATAACCATTAAAAGATGCGGGTTTTTTATATTTACACGTAAATTACACGTATGTTTCCCACCTGGCAACGCTGAAACCAATGGAGTATTGTGCCAACGGTAACCAACCAATGCAGCATTTTAACGCAACTCTCAGCCAGTATGGTGGTTTATAAAGGTATTGGACTGACATATGAACATTTTACTGTAACTGGTCACTAGAATTTGTGTTGAGATCAAGTCTCCTTGCTCCCACATTTAACTTATAAATCGCTTTAGATAAAAGCATCAGCTAAATAATAAATCTCTTTAACTGAAGTTATAACGAGATGAGGAGCTGGCATACAGCTGTTAAGGAAAAGTCATTTTGGTGCCCATATACTCAAATATTAGATGCACAGGAAAACCAAAGCGTTAGGGGGGTCTTCCGAATCTTGGTTTTCTAATTGCCTATGGCACAGTTGTGTTGGTGGCACACAATGTTTCAAAGTACGTTGACCATCTAGCTGCCAGCTACCATTGGAGACGTTTCTTTAGATCAAAGCCCGGCAACATTCACCGTGAAAAAAGCACAGCATATCTCTTCAGCATGGCGAGGAAGAACAAAGCACAGCCACAAGAATAAAAGACCAAAGCAAACCCAGTGGGACAGCTTTCAGAAACGGGTTGCCTTCATGACATTTACATTATTGATTTGCAGATGAATATGAACTAACAGTGCTGACAGCAGGCTTTGATGCAGCCTTTCCGCCCAAACCAGCTTTTTAATAAAAAACTATCTAGAAAAAACAGTTGGTGCGTTTATGTGACGACTGTGACATCCATCAACTTATAATGTTGTTTTTATGTGAGTGTTTAGACCACAAGGGACAATATTTGCTATGGAGTTCACCTGCCTGTGAGCCTGTTATTCCTAGTTGTGTACAGCTGAATTCAAGCAGAGACTAAAAATAGGCATTGATTTAATCTCGAGACAAAAAGTATGACTCAGAACTAAAACTCTACGGGCATACTGCCTGAATTAAAAGCGGTGACTGATTCATTCACAACAAAAAATGTAGATCTGAAGAAATCACCGGTTTCAGTGCTTAAGGAATTTCTAAAAGTCTATTTGTAGCATTAAAAAGACAAGACTAGCATATTTTTAATTCATTCTGATTCATTGGTTTTCACTTGCAACGTCCCCAGACAAAATTAGCACAGTCTACAGGTTCATTATATTTTATTTAGCTGGTGTTTTCATCCAAAGTGACTTACAAAAAAGTGCAATCGGCAATGAGGAAAGAACTTACAACAGCAAGCACAACATTAGCTTTAAATAATCCAAGTCAGGTAGGTGTCAGGTCAGAGAACCAGGTGGTGGATTAGCATTTAGTTCACTGTCATGCTAGACACTAGAGTTTGTGTTCACTCACAATCAATCCGATTTTGTTCACTTTTTGCACAACATAATCTTTCTTTAATGTCTCAGTTGACTTACCTTTACCATATTTGAACTGCAAAGCATTATAAGTGCCAAGTTATTTTAGAAATCATTGTTTTGAACTCTTGAAATAAAAAGAACAGTACATGCTGTCTGTGATAGCTCTTCCACTCTGTCATACATTATACTACAACCAGGGTGCCTTTAATGGAAAGGATTTGCAGCAACTCTCCAAGTCTACATTGAGGTTATTCCCACACAGCAAATCATAAAGGGAAACACGTATAGCATTATTAATTTAGTGCATTTGTTTGTGATAAAGTGGCTCAGCTTGAATGGTGCTTCAAAGATAATAACTATTAGTCATTCAGGACTGAAAATTAGGCCGGTCGCTGGAAATAAGATTTATTAAAAGGAAGAAACGAGTGCTCTTAATGCCGTGCCGTTTCAGCGTTATAATAAGCATTGCAAACCTTGAGTAGGCACATTTAAAAAAACAGACCTACTCATGGTTGTTTGGTTTTCAGCTTTTTCAGCAAACCCCCATTCAATAAAAATACCAAAGGCCATTTAGAGAAGCGCTTCCCAAAGAGACTCTGTGATTGGCAAATTATAAAACTGCCCTGTTTTTTATTTTTATTTGACATGACCCTTCACTTGACCCAAAGGAACAACTACGATTTGAAAATGATTGCTTGAAGCAGATTTTGCAATAGCAGATTATTTGATCATTTCATGAAAGGCTCACCAGCTGGTTCGGTTCTGGTGCCGTTTAACTTCAAAGAAAAATAATCTTGTTTACTCCGGGAAGGTTACAGAGAAATAAAGAAGGAACCCGAACAGACTGACTGAAGTTCCCAAATATCTCTGGTAATGAATTTAACATTAACCTCTTTAATAGCTGTGTCTTGGTGGTTCCTAAACCACAACAACAACAAATCGTTCCAGGTTAACTCTTTATGTACACAGTTTTACAATTATTTTAAGTGGTGCAATGTAATGCAATATAAAAATTGGATTATAGTCCCTATGGGAATTGAGAGTACAGGTATAAGTGGGAGGGTTGGCTGAAGTGTACATTTACTGATTGGCTTGGATTGACAGTATGCATAGCTGTTGTGGATATGGACAACTGTAACACTGAAAATAAATCACTTTAAAAATCTAAAAGAAAACAAAGACAAACATCAAGCTAGTGCAACAACAAAACAAGGCAAGCCAGCTTGCAGCAGCTACCGAATTATAGCAAACGTTAGAAACAAGGAAAGCTTTCTGTCCATTAGGAAACTTTGTAAATCAGAGATTAGGTAGAGCAGCTGCAGAAATCAGAAGGAAAAACTTTTTTATATATATATATATACATAAACATGATCATATTTCACCTAAATGAAATCCAGATTTTACAACCCTCTGAAAAATATGTTCAGAGCTGGACTGACCGAGATATTCTCTTTATTACAAGTCAGTGAAGCAATACTTGATTAATGGAGCTATTATTTTGAGGTTAATTAGTTCCATAATGTGGCTTTGGTGCACTCAGGAGGTGAAGCGATTATCCACAAATTGGTCCCCCAGCCTCTGCAGTTAAGATGTCAAAATGACCTCAAATTGCTCCCGATTGGCCTGGTTTATTACACCTGATGAGAAGGTGGCATATTGTATTGTAGCCTCTGACTGACCATATAATCGACATGATAAATGGTAAAGGCGCTTTAAGGGGTCACAAAGACTGGAAAAGTGATATTTCCATTCACCATTTGTTTGGTTTCCTTACTCAAGGATATATATATATATACTATTAAAAAATATCACCATTAGAAACACCCCCTTGTGTGGGTTATTCAAGGAAAGCAGCATCCCCTAACACACACACACACACACACACACACACACACACACACACACACACACACACACACACACACACACACACACACACACACACGCTCGTGATTTATAAGGAGGAGCATTTTTTGCAGTGTAATCTCAGGATCACACAAAGTGAGTGGGCCACCAGTATGCTACAAAGGACGCTGGATGATGGTGAGGAGAGCCAAAAGGCAGCCGCTTCGCTCACAGGACTTACATTAGGATGAATGGAGTTTTTTTGCGTAACGTTAAGGCGATGGATTTCCCTGTACTGAATCACCCTTTTGGCGCGATGTCAAATTCCGGAAGACGGACCTAACATAACATGAGGAATTGTTTTCGGAATTCACAGGATTCCGACTTGTTCAACAACACAGAGAGGCTTCACATCCCTGGAGATACTGGTTTGTAAACTATATGACTTTGTAGTTACATTATACATTTAAATACCGGCGTTCCTGTACTGATTAGGTTTGTTTACTGCTGTTAAGGTTCGTTACATCAGTTTGAAATGTCCGACTTCCACAACCGAAGCCAAACCAACGCACGTCGCAGTGACTACGTGTGGCAGTATGAATATTATGACGACGAAGAGCCCGTGTCTTTTGAGGGACTCAAAGCGCACAGATGTAAGCCTAATATAACTGTATACATCAGTGAGGAAATCTTCCACTGCTTTACCTGCCTTTGACTGTGTGTACGCGTGTTTCCCAGTGTGCGCAAGTGTGTTTGTGCATGCAATGTCTGTGCGTTAGAAATCAGGGTTACCCACCTTTAATTAGTAATAATTCATTACCTCCTCCACTTCTTCTTCTCTGTATTGCTTCAGCTGGGGAGTGACAGTCGTTATCTGCATTTCAATAAACACATCAATATTTTAGGCAGCAGCTGTACTGGCGTTTAATACTCCACTGTTAATAATAAAGCCACTTTAAAAAACAAGGTTGATGACATGATGTGATCACATTTTAGAAGTACTGAAAGCTCACTTTTACTGAGCAATAGGGAATTTTACAGTCAGGAAGAAATCCCCCTGAAGAATAAAATCACAAAGGCACGAACAGAGAGGATGTGTTAATCGTTAAATTACTTAAATAAGACTTTCTCTTCTCTGACATTTCAGACTCCATCGTCATCGGCTTCTGGGTTGGACTAGCTGTGTTTGTTATATTCATGTTTTTTGTCCTCACGCTTCTCACAAAGACAGGAGCGCCACATCAAGAGTGAGTAATAGCAGGTCTACAGTCCATAATGTCCATTCACCTTCACATCTGGCCCCACAGGGTTAGTTGCAGCACCAAGGAGAGCTCCAGCAAACCACCTCTCACATTTCTCATTCTCAGCTTTCAAGTCTGGGTAAACTCAGTGTGTGTGCAAGGCATAGTCAGACCGGACTGTAATGAGCTACAGGGATGCATTTGACATTCTGACAGTATAGACTGAAGCTGGGGTAGGCAGTCAATTATTAAACCTCTGCCGTCATTGGGCAAAATACCATAATGACCACTTAGCATATTGTAATTTATGTGCCACCCCAGAGTAGTCAATGTTTTTAAAAAGCAAAAACCGGCAGGATTTGATAACAAAACCCTTCTCCTGCACTTCCCCCCTTTTTATTCGGAGCTTCTCCCATTCAGAGAGAATATGTTATTAATAGTTTCGCCTTCTGCTAGATATGAAGAAATCTAAACTTGGCATCATTCTCTCTATCTCTGAAACACCTCAACAATATTGACTTCTTTCTCAATCCTGTCTTCCTTTTTCTAAATTGCTCTGCAGTGTAGGCAGTTTATTATTGATAATGCTGGCATATCCAACATTTCCTGCAGGATATTTCACCCTCTACCATCTGTAAGCCCTGTCAAGCGCAAATCCTTTTGTAGAACAGCCTATAGGATATCCTTTTTTTCTGAAACAACTTCTAATTGTCTACCATAGTCTCTCTCAGAGGACCACTTGAATAACCCTATATGCTGTGAGGTAATTATGCAACACATTACATTATTGTGTTTTGTGGAAAGCAGCTATTTGACTTATAGGTGAGCTTCATATGGCCAAATGCACATTGCCATCAAAATTAAAAATCAGTACTGGGAATTAGATTGTCAGTAATGTCAGAGTGAGTACAGCACAGCCAAGATGAAATGGGGATTTTTTTTTTTGGCTAGCTATACGTCATTTCCCATCATTGTTTTTTCAGGAAAGGGCACTGGGTTGATTTTTAGACTTCATTTCCAGAGACAGAAGCATGGATAGTGAACAAGAGGGAATCAAGACAGCGATCTGTGTTGAGCTGCAGGTTTTCTCAGGACTGAAATGACAATAATAAGCCCCTTATGTCTTCAAAGCAATTTCCTGGTTTAATCTCCCTGCTGTGATCTGTCTTTAACAGAAACCCCGACTCTGCGGAGAAGCGCCATCGACCAGGCAGTTGTCTGGTAGACATCGGCAGTCCCCAGGACGAAAGCGACAAAGCCTTCTCCCGACCCTTGCTAGCGGAGTCACGCACATATTTTCATTTCTACATAAACGAGGAGGATCAGGGGAAGCAGAAACCAGAGGAGGAGAGAGACGGAAAGCACAGCGGGGCTCGAGCGCAGCGGGGGGGCCGAGGGGTCGGCTCCTCGGGGGTGGACGAGATGGAAGAAGAGGTTGAGGAAGCTACGGGACACAAACCTATCAACGGACTAATGGAAGAGAGTAATACGGACAGGGAATGTGCCTTCTTTTCCCATTTCAACATCCCTAACTTTGTGAACTTGGAGCACAGCTCAACTCTTGGAGACGATGATCTGCTGTATGAGCCGTCTGCCATACTGGAGCGCCAGTCTCACTCTCATGATGCTCACTGTGACATCCACTAAGTGTGTTTATACAAAATACATGGCATGGACATATTATTATTGTAATGTGTGTATTCCTTTTGCCTGGCCATTTGTGATGTGACAGGTAGAATCACACACACCTCTCACAGCTGCCTTTTAGAGTTGTTATCAACAACAGGGTACAAAAGATGGCTCACAAACCCAATGCGAGGCGTACTTCACATTTATGCGATGACATTTCTCAGATGAAATGGTCTTACAAACAGTACCTTTCACTTTGAGTACTAGGCTCCTTTGAATTAGACGCGGCTGTATTGAACCAGGACTACAGATCTTTTTACAGAGAAATGAAAAGACAGTGGCTCACCGAGCAGAGACGTTTGGTACAATATATTCTGCTATTAATGCTGTCTTGCTTTCTTGTTCGATTGTGAAGAATGAACACAAAACACAAATGCCTGGTTGTCTACCAAGATTAAAAGCATGGAATTTGTATTCTGGGAAGCGCACTTTATTAGAAAAGGTAAAGTGTACTTCAACATTATGAATAGTAGCAAAACAATTGTTATATATCACTATTAGAAGGTAGTTAACCCGTGACCTTTTACATGTGATATAACACTTTTGTACACCTCATTACATGATAAATGATTTGTGTTTCTCAAAATAAAGCCTAAATGGGTTTAAATATTCGACTCAACACTGGTGCTTAAACACCAAGGCCAACTGCAAAAGGTAGCAATATCCATGAGAGGATCAATCTGATTAACTACCTGCCAAACGAAACAGAGAAAATAAACAACCAGCCGGTAAAGACAAGATACAAAACTAAAAGAAAAAATGCTAACTTTTGCTACAAACGTTTTGGTTACAATACAATACAATACTGTGGTAGTGTGTTTAGTGCTGCCCCCATGTGGCAAAAAAAACGATTAGCCAGGTTTAATTTATACTTTTGAGTATTCTGATGAACGTCTCGTAAAATATCTGTATAAGTATGAACACTGAAGTTTGGAAATGTCTGTAAGATGTGTTGGATATATTTTCAATGTGGGAGATTTGAGAAGAAATTAGACAAAAAAACACAAGCAGTGCTCCCCTGTTGGATCTTAATTCATGAAGCAATCTCCTTTGCAGTCAATAAAAATCAAACTACTTTGAGCCATTTCCGTCGATGATTATGCAAAAGCACACTGCCCGCCAGCTATTATTCTCACACATCAGTTAATGCCCGAGCTACTACATTTGGTTAACAGAGGGATATGTTAGGAATGCCAAAGAGCCCATTTACATTAACACGACAATGACTCCATCAAATCATGTTTTAGACAAACAGAACATTCATACAGACAGAGGGTGAAAGCCTGAGGTTAAATAGAGTAAACTTGAAGACGTGCTCAGGTTTTTCCTTGAGCGTTCTGCCTTAAAGTCAAAGGTGTTAAGTTTCCTCTGCTGCCGGATGTCTTACCCTTAAACAAGCTGTGTTACCTTAGAGGAGACGTGTCGAGGCAGCGATGCAGAGGGGTCACATTTACATTTCAATCCCACCCATACAATTCCCCAATTTCTGAATGACAGAAGTCAAAACTAACATAATTAAGATATCATAGAAAATGGTTGCTGTGGTGATGTGGAACCAAATAGGCTTTAAAGGTAGCAGCAATTAATATTTCTGAATGAGGGGGTGTTCAGTGAAACTGTGAACTGTGCAATTTCAAGACAAACACACTTATTTATTTCTCTCCATCTGTGTAAGTGGTTTTGAAAATGGTGTGTGAATGTCAGATAATCTCTCCTTTAATGTGGCCTCATAACTTTATCACACCCACTCTACCCTTATGTGCCTTCAGCACAAAACATGCAGGGATGACTTGGCAGCAACTTCAGACTCCACATGCCTCAGTAGTTTAGCTCCAAACAAGCTTTTAGAGGGGTGGAGGGGGGCACTTACTAACCAATGGTGTAGTGAGGATCAACAACCATGGGAGGGGGCAATGGAGTCAATCAATTCCATGCAGCAAGACTGCCATTTGCTCTTTTTCTCCAAAGGCGGTCCCTGTAGGCATTGTGGTTGACATTTGCAATGACATATTCAACAATGAGAAGCAATGGGGGAGCGACAGAGTGGGATTAATGAAAAAGTTGGCGTTTTGTTAACACAGAACATTCTCTGGGAACTGGTGGTTGTCACAACACAGTGTCAGTCTAATGGTAATTACATTCTGAGTTGCACGAACAAAGACACGCAACATATTTGTGTTGCAATCAGGCCGTCATGATATAAGCCGGGTTAATGTTGTAAAGAGTTGTTAGATAAAACAGCATTCCCTGCATCACAGATAAATACTGAAGCACTGAAGGAGGAATGCATTGAAGAAGAATGCTTCTTTAAAAGCCTCTGTACTTGAAACTTACTGAAATATTTCTAAGCTATGTGAAGTGTATAATTCAGGCAAATGTAATAAATCTCATTCAAAGTCGAGAAAATGTTTTGGGGCTGTGGAGAGGCTCCCCTTAACTAGTGTTTTACAACCTTTTTGGTATGAGGAACCAGGGAAACACTGTCAGGTTAACTCATGTAAAATAATGCTTAATCAATTCCCAAAGATGTTCCAAATATATGCTACGTCTCATTACAAAACATTGGATATTGTTAATCTTTCATACAATTAAACTGTCAACCGTCATTTAGGTTGACTGTGGTCAGCAATAACACTTCCAATACTACTACTACTACCGCCAATACCACTACTACTATTAATACTACTTAGAGTGAAGCTAAAACAGATTTACCAGCATATCATTTAAACTGTCATTAGTTTAAGTTTATTTTTGCCATTTACGGTTTTCTTCTATAATTTTTAGCGAATTAGCTTTCATGGACTGTTACTTAAAAAATTAAATTAGTTCTGAGTTGGGCAATGTGTTTTGGAAACATTTGTTGTTTCTGTTTAAATACTCTTTACATCCCAAGAGCAATATATGAAATGCCCTGCTAAATCAAAAACAACACAGAACTTTTAAAGTCTAATCATTTTATTCGGCCCTGAGTCAGGCAACATTGGAGTGTTTTTTCATTTTGATAATTAAAAAAATGTACTGTACTCTCGTTGGCTTGTCCAACTTTACACACCCAAGCTTTAATATATATATATTCTCTTAAAAAACATCCGGAAAACACTGACCTGTGTGGGTTGTCAGAAAATTGGAGCATACTTTCCATCAGAGGAACTAAAAGGCCTGACTTTAACAGATGTCCAACATAAACACACTCATGGTATGACTCACTGCACCAACTCATTGCATACAACACCCAAAGTTGGCAGTACAGTTGCTTCAATAAGTAGTGCACACATTCAGTTCACTTTTGTACATTCACAGTTTGTTTTAGATTTGTTTGTCTTAAGTCCTTCTAATTTGCATGTTTGAGTTACCAGTGCTGACGCTGCTGCTGAGGGACTTCAGCAGGCCAGACCAAAAGATGCCCCACCCTGAAGAAGACCTAAATACAGGAAGTAACCAATCAGAATGTACCAAGTGCCCACCACATTGTAGGGGGGGAATGGGATTTTAATAGTTTAGAGATTTCATTTATACCTCTAGATTATATTATTTTGTTGATGTGTTTAGTGGTTGAATACTTAAATAAGCATTTTGATGGACCAATTGTCTTGTTTTTCTTTTATTTGTAGTTGGGGGTGTTTTGTCTTTGGTTTACTCCCATGTTTCAAAAGTGGTGTAATCAACCAGCTATATATAATATATTCCCCTTTGTGGTCAGTGAATTGTTTGATTAGTCTAGTCTGTGAAGTTGTATTCAGTTTATGTTATTTCAAACTGTGGTTAGTTGGCACAGAAAATTCCTGCACATTTTGTCTCAATGCTGTTTAATTTTTTTGTCAATAAAAACCTTTTCTTTTGGGAAATCCATGTATGACTCCTGGCTGCCTGCCATGTCAGTCCCTCACAGATCTCTTAAAATAGTTGTTGAAGAAAACAACTACTAAAGATTGCATCCAATAGCCTTCCTACTATGGCACAACCAGGCCCGGTTCTACGGGGGTGCATAAGGGTGCATTGCACCCTCAGTTGAGTCTAAGCACAGGAAATCAGTTTTTGGCTTATTTTAAACAATTGAAAAACTGGAAGTTGCTAAAGAAAATCCACATGTACCTAAACAAAGTTATCCTGGAGTTAGAACCACTTTCTGGTGATTGAAAAGCTTTGTCTTCTTTTGATATATTTTCTGCCTGGTGCTTGATATACCGAGGGTGGATGAGGATTAATGGATGAATGCAAATCCTTAATGTTGTCATGGGGGTTGACTGGATGTTTTATGGTCATTCACTTAGCTGACAGCATACAACAGCTTACAAATCAAATTGAAGGGAAAATGAAGGAGCGAAAAAATGACAATATTTCAAAAGGATGAATATGAAAACAGGCTTTGGCATTACATAAAACAGAGTGTTGAATTCTTTATTTCTGCCTACATTTTAAATACTTTCAGAGAAGCAATACATATTTGATAACATTAAGGACAAGATAAATACTTCTATTATATAGAACCTTTTTTCATACCTACTAACATGTTTCATCTTTAGCATATTACATTTATACTAAAAACTAATCATATTTAATAGACTGAAAATGTGTTTTAAACTATAGATTTTATTTTAACAAAGAAATGTAAATGTATTCTATTTGATTCATGTTTAATATCACAGTGGAAATAGACAGTACAGTACTCGTTGGGTTGCAGATTTGAAATACATGCGTATGTTACTTATATTACAAATGAGTTATCAAATCTTTACTTTAGGTGACAAAATACCATAATATTACTCTGTGTTAATTAACATACTTGTATTCTAATTTAGTTAATAATCTAAATGAACTATAACTGTTTCCAACTGTGTCTATTTGGAGGCTGGGAGACAGAAAGGGACACCATACTGTGTCTCAGCTGCTTTATGCATGTTGGTACCCTTCCTTTGTTGACTACACACGACAGAAAACACACACACACACACACACACACACACACACACACACACACACACACACACACACACACACACACACACACCTCGGTTTCCTCGTGTGTCTTTCTACTGCTCAGCCTGCTTAACATGCCTCACAGCCTGCCACGCTTAACCCAACCTCTGATCAATGTGTGTGTGTGTGTGTGTGTGTGTGTGTGTGTGTGTGTGTGTGTGTGTGTGTGTGTGTGTGTGTGTGTGTGTGTGTATGTGTGTGTGTGTGCGTTGTCTGTGTGCGTGCAAATGCTCTCAGTATGTTGCCCTGGGTTTGGGTTAAATAAAGGAAATCTGCCAGCCATACAAAAGTACTAGGGTTTGAAGCGTAAGGCTCTGTTACACTATTTAACTGTGCAACTAAGCGTGTGTATATGCGTGTGCACTCTAGCATAGTAAATGATATCTACACCGAAAGTGATGTCATTTGTTGCAACGCTGAATAAAGCAGTAACCCTTCACTTCATGTTTCTACATAGAGACAGACAGAGCGTCTCTACAGGAGTCAGAAAAGGGCCGAAAACGGACAGACAACTGTGTCATATTTTATGATCAACACAGACCACATAGACAACCTCATTTGGCAATGAAGGCGTGTGATCCAACAGTAATGAGTATAAGAAACGTGTGCTAAATGTTTTTCGGTGCATACAGATTGTATTCAGTAATGCTTAAATTGTTTCCAGTACTTATTAATCACGGACTAAACGAATAAACGGTATCAGGCCTACCTTTTGATAGGAAAACAGTCAGAATATTACAGAACTACAAGGCTAAAAACTCTGAAAAGCCAAACATTACCTGCTTCTCCAACCATTGTGTCTCTTATTATTTCAATTTGAAACCAAAACAAACACTTTTCATTCAACCCGTGTGTTAGACAAAAACATACACACACATATACAACCACCTTTGATGTCTCCTAGTGTTTCAAGTAACCTTTAAAACTGAAGCCTGAAGAGGGCAGTATTGGTCTGCTGAAGAAACTACTGGGTGTCTACCATGTGTGTGTGTGTGTGTGTGTGTGTGTGTGTGTGTGTGTGTGTGTGTGTGTGTGTGTGTGTGTGTGTGTGTGTGTGTGTGTGTGTGTGTGTGCCTCTATGTGCGCATACCAGTGCATACATATGTGTGCTTATGTGTTAGATTATGGAAAGACAGAGGCAGCTTCAATCATTTTAACAGTGATCACCGGGAAGTGAAAAACAGGTTGAGGGCGTTCTGATGTGAGCAGCCAGCGGCTCACTAACACAGAGTGAGACAAGGCTGTCACTGTCATCATGATAGCTGGACACTACTGAGATCAGTGTGTGTGTGTGTGTGTATGTGTATGTGTATGTGTGTGTGTGTGTGTGTGTGTGTGTGTGTGTGTGTGTGTGTGTGTGTGTGTGCACAGGGAGAAACAGACAGAGACTATATGGCAGTTCTTACTGCCATATAGTCTCTGTCTGTTTCTCCCTGTGCACACACACACACACACACACACACACACACACACACACACACACACACACACATACACATACACANTTCATCAGACGACGAAGCGCAAAGAGTCAGGTGAAATGCGAATTCTGTAAAGGGAATTGGGCAGTTCACAGCCAGCACTACAGTGATGCACGAGATTAAAGCGCGAGCGACCCTGACACCGGAGATGTACTCTTGGGATCGGATGGGTAGAGCTTGAGGCAAAGTTAAGCCATAGTCCATGTTTACTTAAGCCTTCATGTTGAAAACAGAACGTCTCATGGGTTTAATGCTTGCTAAGCAAACTCGCTAAAAATTTTTCAGTTATGTTGAGGCTGCCCGTGTCCACCCCAACGAGCTGCTAAACAGCGCCAAGCTTACCAGGCGTAGTGAGAGCACACTATGAAAGCTTTAATGGATCGACTGTAATTAAATTCCAAACTTAAATAATAATTAACAGGTCCCTGCGGGAAAATGAACAAAGAATAAAATGCGATTGATTGGATTTGTATTTATAATGATTTTCAGACTTTCAATAATAGCATTAATACATCAATTCAACATGGTAGTCAGTTCAATTCGTTTTAAGTCCTTAATTCGTTGTTTTAGACGAAGCGCATTTAACAATTCCAATTCATATGTTCATTTGATTATATCTTTATCTATTTCATGTACTATATACACATATACTCAATGTGGCAGTGTCACAATCTTACTTCGCTAGTCAGTCTGCAAAAACACGACACTCGGTGCTAACGTGAGTTAATAATAATAGTGGTAATAATCGTTAGATTAGTCGACTAATCGAAAAAATAATCGACCGATTAGTCGACTACCAAAATAATCGTTAGTTGCAGCCCTAGTGCTATGTTATATGTGGTCGATATTTCCCAGGTTTGTATACCACTATATGTAAATGTTGTTGTAAGGTCAATGCCAAAACGAGACATAAAGAAATCAAAAGGATGCCGGATGCAGTATGGGATGCAGGTGTTTTTTGGAATACTGCTTTTGACATACTATTTATTAGTATACACTGATTATTTTCCTAGCATACTTAATGGTACAGTAGAACTGGTATTGGAACTCACAGTCCGTGGAACCCAATGGTCTCAATCCTGTGTCTGATGCATGCGATGATTATATTCAAAACTAAATTATGATAGAGGCCACACATATTTATTCAGTCTCAGCCATGCAAAATCTCTTTGGTCAACACAGTTTGGACAGCTAAAAAAGACTGAAACAAAAATATATTCTATTGAAAATCATAAATAAATCAAAAGATATCAGCAAACCCTAACAGCTGAGAAGCTAGAATCAGAACACATTTGCCATTAGTTTTGGTTAATTGATTTAGACATTAATGTATTATTTAAATATTGTATTTTAATTTTTCTGTTGTTTTACTTATCGTTTTATTAACCAACAGTTTGTTTGTTCCTGTTTTGTTTCTTAGTTCAAATATGGCAGTGAGGGACAGAAACTCCCTGTGGCATGGACTTTGAGATTTTAGCCTTTGCAGACCATTTACATGCAGTGCATAAGTCTGGTTACCATGGTGAGTTTGACTTTCACATCATCCTCTAAATGTTTTTGGGTCTTCATGCTAAAAGGACAGAAACTATTTGGAGAATACTTATTTGTCATCATTAAGATTGAAGGGCAGCAACAGGGAATATCAAAGACGTCAAGATATCATGGAGGGGTGATGATGCTCCAGCGGACATGTTGTAGAATGACAAAGTGGGGGCTTGGGTTGTTTTCAGGCCAATTTCAGGTCAACTTCATAAATCCAGAAGTGTAAGAAAGATGTAACTCTACAATGAAAAAGTGCCTTATATCTTTATGCAATAGCCTAATCAATACTAAAAAAAAGGTACAGTATGTAAACCAATATAATTAAGCAATAGCTCACGACAGGCCATGCTAGGACTGTCTTAGGGAAGAAAGCTTTTAGTTGTGCAGCTCCACTAACTTGGAACAGTCTGCAAACATGTTTAAAACTGAGCACTTTGGTTCCCCTGCATCATTTTAAAACTCGGCTGGGTGACATGCTTTTTGATACTCATGGTACCTGTCACTATAAATAGAGTTTGTAAACTGTACCCTGTACATTATGTTGTATGTCATCCTTATTGTTGTTCTGTTGTTTTTATGTTACATGTGTAACTAATGCCCTGCAGGTCACCCTTGAAAAAGAGATCTTTTGATCTCAAGGGGCTTTCATCTGGTTAAATAAAGGCTACAAACAAACAAACAAACAAACAAAGCAACCTCAAACTTTACAACCTTACACTGAGCACAGATGAGGCTGTGGTGGTGATAAGCAATATACAGTAAATATCATTGGAGAGCGCTGGGGTTTTCTCATTAGCTTCACTTGCATGCTCTGCTGCTACAAGGCAATGAAGTGTTGTGCTTAAGCGGCTTAATGTATTACATTGCCTATCCAATGGTCAACAATAATTAGAAGACTATGTGTCTTACTGAGGATTTGATTTTGTTGGCCCGTCCTTAAAGTCACATACACTTTAATACCACTAAATGGCAAAGGTTTGAATGATTGTTTTGCAACAACAGTCACACTTACACTCCAGAGTGCACTTGGATGGAAGCGGTGCTCAGTGGGACGCCAAAAGCCCCCGTTTCTATTGTGTCATCATGGTAAGGTGTTACTCTGCCATGGCCCTCTGGTTCAGTAAACAGATCAATATGTGGCAGGCTGTAATCCTACAGAGAGAGGGGAAACAAGCACAGTGATTGTCAGCAGTGGCCAATTCTGGTCCTTAAATCATTCCTATGTGAGCAAATAAAACCTTAACTAGGCCCGCTTGTTCTAGCAGAGGTATCGACTGAATATCCATAAAGCAATATCACATACTAGATGTGTTTTAAAGAGGACCATTGGAGGGGATTATAATGTAACACTGAAGGACAAATGAAGCAGATGTATTCAGGCAGATTGCTCACCCGGACAGCCAGTCGAATGGAGCCCATTTGCATTGGAGGAAGGTTCTCTGGCCCTGTCTCCGGATCCGGCTCTGCCCACATGTTTGTCAATTCAATGCCTCCCTCTTCCAAGGCAATGCAGCGTCCCTGGAAGCCAGGCTTCTCATAGAGAACCCAGCTGTCGTGAAAACAAGAATGTGTTCTCATATAACCGGAAACAGAGAATTGTTGGGGAAAAAATAGCAAGGACAAGGAAACATGTGCATGGCATATAAAGCAATACATATTTTAACATGTTGGGGAATATACACGTGGGATCATCTCTTATATTTTCATCTTATTTTTTTATACATGTGGTAATTTCCTTTACTAAATGTCACCTGCTTTACCCATATATTACTAAATTATATATGATTGTATACATGCATTTTGCACTTGATCCTCTATCAGTGGACTGCCGTGTTCCTAATGTTTGCATGTCATACAGACACAGGGTTCTGTTTTGTTTGAATAATTGTATTAAATATGTTGAGATTAAGCTAGAAATGTGATCTATTAATACACATATTATCACTGTGTCAGTTTTCTTTCCAAATGTTAGATAAGATAATATCAACACTACTCTCATATCTGTCTAATAAATCATGAGCCCAGCTTATCATAAAGACTAGAAGCAGAGGGAAACAGCCTGGTTCTGTTCAAAGGTGAAAATAAATAAGAAACCTTCCTACAAGCACCTCTTAAGCTCAATAATTAACATCTTGTACCTTGTTATTTTGATGTGTGCAAAAATGTCAATTTTTGGCCGGCACAACAACTTCCTGAGGTCTCCACTGGTTGCCTGGCAACCAACCCTTGCACATAATCCTTTTAAAACCACAACATGTCGATTTTACACTCTGGGATTTGTATTGGCTGAACAAGATAATTAATGAATTGGTGGTCTTTAGAGGTGCTAGATGGAGGATTGTGTTTCCTTTGGACAGAGCCCATGAGGTCATCAACTAATGAACACATATGCACTTCTTAGCTGCAGAGGCTATTCAAATATATAAATATGCAAGAAATTATGTAACGGGCTACTCTGGTTCCCAATTCCACTTGACACTAATTAGAATTAGACTTCAGTGCTCATTTATTTTTCATCGTCTGAAGGTTCCAGTTGAATGAAAATACTCACCATCCTCTAACAACCATCACAGAGACGAGAGGTGAGAGCCGCAGAGACGTAGCATCTGCTACATCCCCGAAGATCTCATGGGCCTGGCCACTGAACTGAGCTTTCTCAAACAACACCATCTGTGTGGACACATGAAGGGTAGTGTCAAAAAACACATACAATGCCATCACATCAAATGATGACTCACAGAGTGCTGAGAAATACCTGAGAGCAGTTGCTTTGCTTCTCTTTTAAGCTGCAGTAAAAGCATCTTAATGTTTCTATCTACACCAAACAGGCACACGTCTACTTAAAGCAACAGGGTGTATTGGAAATGTAATACATCGCTTTACTATTAAAGTCATCGATATTTCATTAAGCAACAGACTAATGAAGTTGGTGAGTAATGTAGTACAGAAACTGGTTTCTCTCGAGACTCAATGTTGTATTTTTTTCTAGAAGCTTTCAAATCTAAAATGTTATCATGCAGTGTTTTACCAGGCATTACAGAGAATCCCCGGCACAGCCAAAGCTGGAGGTAGACTGAATTAAAGCAATGTGTGGCCATTAAACTGAAATTGTTGAGCGCCAATTTATATATGAAGTTCTACAATAATACAGAACCACAATGTTGCAGCACTTTGGCAGCACTGAATTCCATGATTGTAATCACATCCAGCTGAGCGTTTGCATTAGACTGTTTTTTTTTAATACTTTGTTTACCCCCCAAGAACACCATATGAAAAGCAGATGTTTTCACAGAACAAAGAGTTGTCTGTGCAGATTCCTCTCTCCATCTTGTTTCTATTGTATGTGGGCAAAGCTGGGAATACAGTACCTTTCCAGGGCGCTTGTGAAATCCTTTGACGATTCGTATCTGGAACGCAAAAACACAGGATTTTCATTGCAAGACTGCAGACCATGGAAAACACCTACAAAGTGCTAGAAAAAGCTATTTTGCATTTGTTTGTGCAGCAAGTTCTGTTCCTGTTGAATGTCTTGACCTTTTAGTTTACTTCCAGGGACACAGTGGGTCCATGGAGACTGCTCAAATTTGCATTCAAGCACAACACTGTGGAGCAAAGCCAGCAGGAATTCAAGTGTTGCTCAAAGCAGTACGCTCGCAAAAAGGCCAAGTTGAGAGTTTAGAAGCTACAAATGGCGTTAACTCTTTACAAAAGTGATAATTTGATTTTTTTCTTTATGTTCTTTGATATTGAACTGAATAACTTTGGGTTTTGGACTGCTGGGTAGTACATTTAGACTTTTTGAAAACCATGATTATCACTTTTTTGAAATTTAATTGGCTAAAGATATAAATGATTGATTAGGTAGATTCATCAAAAATATAAAATATATGGAAGCACTTTATTTTATAGCTATTTAATATCATCGTTTTGAAAAGGTTTGGAAAGGTTTAGGTTAGGTTATTTGGTCATTAAGATTTGAAATCAAACATGTTCAATTGTGAAACTTCCAATTATTCTTACTAATAGTTTAAATTCCTTATAATTAGAATGTATTGACATTACCTTTCCAGCAATTTAGAAATAGTTAAGAAAAGCATTAACAAAATGATCACAAGTTGCATCCCACATCATTTTCATGGACTAAAAAGACAAAAGAAGTAGAGGCTTCCTACTAATGAGAATAAAATAATGCAAATAGGGTTTAAAATAAAACTGCTGGATTTTTCCATAAAATGCAAATGCAGCTCTAAGGAGAAAAAGGATTATGAATAATTTCTAGCTCACATCCCACTGCACCAAGAAGATTAAACTCATATGCATAAACTTCTAAGAAATGTTCAGCTTTAATAAACCTTAAAAAACAAAACTATCATACATTGTTTAACAGTTTGTATGTCGCATATGCACTTACATTTCTACTAAGAGTTGCCCGGGGCTGAGCTGGAGGCTTTTTCAGCTCAGCAGGGATTGTCGGCAGTGTAGGGGGTGTGATTGGAGGAATCCCCTGAGAAAATGGAGGCACAGCATGGACAAGTTTCACTGCCCCGTCTGCTTCATCTCCAGGGGCTGGGGTTGGCATGTTCCCAATAACCTGATGATAGACCAAGAATTATTGGAGAAAAATGAGTTGTTACTGCGCTTCCTTGCAAATAAGAAAAGGCGTTTTTCTTTTTTCCAGACATGTGAAAACAGAACAATTGGTACTACGAGTAGTTCCTTTTATTAGACAATAAACACTCTGATTGTTAAAGTAATTATAACAACTTGTGAGATGCATGTTGTCTCTGAAATCAGTCTGTAATGATGACTACTTCTTTAACGTTCCAAATAATGAGTAGTTGGTCAAAATAACAAAAATACGAACCTCGGGTTTGACTTGCTCCATTCCTTGTTTTGCTGGTTCTTGGGGGAGGTACTTCTCTAAATAATCCGGCAGCTTGATTTCGTTAAAGGACGGAAATGGAGGGCCTGAGTCACCGACCACAGCCTCCACAGCCTGGGCTTCCTCTCTGCTGCTCAGGGCCAGTGTATCTCTGAGTGGAGCTGTTGAACATGGCTGGGATAAAGGTGGAGGGCTTAGCTGGGGGGCTTCACTCGGTGACACATCCCCAGAGCTGGTGCCATCCACCTGCGTTTGACCACCATTCCTCTTCCCTCTGAAAATGGAGGAGGAAAGGCTGCTGAGAACACAGCTGCCCTCCAAGCGAGACTTCACCTTGACCTGCTCCTCCTTCTCTTCCTTGTCATCCTCCTCATCGTTGTCCTCTTTGTCCCTGAGGCGAGAGCGAGTGTCCAGGCTACTCAGCAGCATGCTCCTGTCTGACAAACTTGCCCTGGCTGGCTTCGTGCCAGATTTGGTGTCCTTGTTCTGCAGCCTTGATAAGAAGCTTGGGGTTGTGTCTACACTAAACTGATTCTTCTTCCTCAAACCAAACTTAAACTCATCGGGGTCAAACGTCTTCTCATGGCGGTCCTCCCTGATGGCGGGCATGGCGAATGGCGGCTGAGGGGTCCGTAGTACGTTGTGTTTACGTGGCGGGAGAGAGAACGGCGAGCAAAGATTCTTGATTTTCTCAATGAAATCATCATCATCTAGGTCACCAGAGGTGTCCAGCAGATTGCTCTCACTACCAGAGTAGCTCAGTTTGGGCACTGGGACTTTGAGCTTCCATTTGGGCAAGTCCACATCCAGCCAGCTAGAGGGGGCGTCTTGCGGGGCTGAAACATCGTCTCTGTTTAGTCCCCGTGGCAAATGGAGCTTCTTCATGGGAGAACGCTGGGTTGTATCTGGGGTCGGCTTATTAGCCTGTGGACTCGGTTTGTTATTGACCAGTTCCTTTCCGACAGCGTTGAGTTGCTGGGACGAATCTCCATTAGCAACAAGCGAAACTTCATTGCTTTGTGAGTGCAGTGTTTTCTCAGCTGTGTTCCCTGCCACATTAACTATGGAGCTGGAAGCCTCTCTATCCGAGGGGCCGCGTGCTATTTTCTTTGCGCCCTTGACTGAAGTAATAACACTTGTGCTCTCTGTGGATTTTGAATCCTCACGCTGGCGGCGAGCTGGTTTTATCACATCTCCTGAGACTTTGACTACAGCAGGCACTGGGATGGCATTTGAATTGCTTTCCCCATCAGCCCGCCCTGCTCCCTTGCTCCTCTCAGATTTAGATGGAGAAATTGGAGTATGCTCTTTAACAGATGCTTTTTTCTCTGACAGTGTCTGTGCAGCTATCAGCGCTGGAGTGCCATCCCCGGCTTTTACAGTCAATTTCTCAGCTGCTGTTGTTGCTTTGGTAATAGACTCTGAGCTGGAGAACTCAGAGTCATTAGCTCCATGTGCACATGAGTCATCCGGTACATTTTCAGTTTTTTCCACAGAAACAGAATGAGGCTGTGTCTCTGTCTCTAGACCTTTTGGAGACTCTTTTTGTAACTCAGAGGACACACATGTAGCCTGACTCCCCTTTGACGGCCCTTTCTCACTCTTTGTCACACTCACAGCCTCATTAGTCTGGGTGACAGTTTCTTCTGGATGTGTACTCTTCGTGTGTATGACATGTTGTTTTGGAGCAGGGAGGTCTAATAATGTACCGGTCTTCTCTGAGGACTGAGAGACTTTTCTCTCATCGTTTATCTCAGCATTTATTCTTTCATCATCCCTTGCAGCACTCTCCTTTGTGCCAGAGATAAATTGTCTGCTGTCTGAAACCTTGCCCTTTGTGGTATTTTTATCTGGACGCGGTAGCTGCTGGGGCTTGTCTTTGTTTTTCTTCTCAGTCTGATTTCTTTTTTCGCCCTCCACCTTTTCTAAATTCCTCACATCTTCACTCACAGTCTGATGTATTAGCTCTGTGTCCTTGTTTAAGGGTTGTGGTTTTGGTCCTGTGTCTTTCTTATTCTGAAGTTTTACTTTTCCTTCACTTTTAAATGCAGATTGTGTTGGCAATTCTTTTTCTAATTTGGGATGTTCGACAGGAGGCCCTTGCTTCATTGAACGAGTCTTCTCAGTAGGTTGCTCAACCGCAGGTGAGGGGGAGGAGGCTGAAGTTTCTTTGCAGTCCTTGGAGGCATTTTCTTTCCTCTGTGTGAATGAGAGCTTGTTTCCCCCTGCCTGTTCCTGCTTTCGGGGTAAAATAACGGGACTCTTGTCAATAGGTGTCTTTGTTCCACTGCGACCAGCAGCAGTACCAGGTTGATCTTTGTTGACAGATGGTTCAGGCAATCCCTCCTGTCTGTTGTCGAGTTTATTAATTTTCTCATTTGTTACTGAGACAGCTAACCTTTCCTTTTGTTCGTCTACCACCAGTATCTCCTTCTTAATAGCTTTTCCTTTGGTATCAGACTGTTTGTTTGATGTATTTCCTTGGGCTTTTTCAGATGCTAATGAGACTTCCTGTGTCTTAGAGGCAGAGGCGGCCTTCTCAGTATCATCCACCTGATGTTGTTTATTACCGGTGAGCTCTGCCTTACTTGTTGAGCAATCTGATTTGTTTTCACCATGTGGGCTGATGGGACTCTCTGGTTCCCTACCTTTTTTTCTTTTAGGTCTGGAGCCCATTCTGGTAGGGCTTTTGGACTGTGGGCTGATGCTATTGGTCAGTTCTGCAGAATCACTAGTCTCCTTAGTTGGATCTGTTTCCAGACTGTTGGATTTCATCCCCTTTTCTGCTGTTTTCGAGTCTACTGTGTTGCTTATTCGAGAGTCTGTTGGTTGCTCTTTAGGAATGGAAATCTTTATCCCTACAGCAATGGTATCCTGTCCATCTGGTTTTAATGTTATCTCTGACTTTTGTTTCTGTATTTGCTCCTTAGTATCCAGTTTACCCTGATTGTCCAGTTTTGTTGATGCAGCAGCTGCAACAGACGACGAGGATCTTTGAGACATTCCAGTCATTGTTGGCTTTTGAGACACTGCGGGCCTGTCATCGGATTTAGACGCCTCTGTGAAGTTCCTCGCTCGCTCCTTGATCGTCATTGGCTTCTCCCTGACGGCCGGTGCAGTGCCGGACACGGCCATCGCGTAACGTTCACCAGATTTGGACCTCTTCTCTAACGAAACAAATTCCTCTTTCATCTTCTCTGCGGGTTTTCTAACTGGAGAGACATCAGCACTCCTCTGGCTCTGGAAGGTCTGTTTGTTGACCCTCGCTGCCGGGTGCTCAAAGAGGTTGATTTTACCCGCAATGCGGCCAGCGGCTGGCTTAGGCTCCTCATTGATTTTCTTCAGCTGGTGTTGTCTGTGTAGGATAAGAGATGAAGGTTTGAATTCAGATATATGTTTTATTTTTGCAAAATTTCAAACTTAAATCATTTATATAAACACGCCCTGTCTTCTGACATGGACAAATGTTATACTAATGACTGGGTGATTTCTTGAGTTAAAGCTGAGCTATTTTTCCACATTTTCTTTGCTTTACAGTTACACTCTTAAACAACAGATCTGAACTTTGTTTCATGACGCACACCTTTGTTTCACTGTGGAGAGGCCTGTAATATTCCACCCATAGCGCACATTCTTTTGAAAGCAATGTCATGTAAGGCAAACACCTTACAGGTTAGCTGCTAATGTTGGAGGTACAATACTAATGCACTAACAATTATTCTTAACAAATACATATATATATATTTTTTTTAAGTTAGTATATAATTTGAAGACCATTCAATATACCCTGCAGTGTGTTGAGTCATTGTTTCACATACTATACACAGATCACATTCAGGGTAAAGACTTACCTGCCGTCAGTCTCTGTGTTGGGCTTATCTTTTCCTCCATCTTTGGTTTTCATTACCGCTGTCTTAAATTCCTCGGTGCCTCCTGCTGGACTCTTCTCCAAAGGCACATTTTTTGTAAAAAGCTTCACCTCACTTCGAGAGACCTTTAAACTCATACGTTTGGACTCTGGTGTCTCTGTCTTCCTTTCAACTCTGTAAAGACTGTCGTCGTCCTCCATGTCTGAGCCCCTATCTGCCACACATGCCAGACTGGCGGCAATGAGTGAGTTTGAGTCCTGGAAGTTGTCCAACTGCTTGACGGCGTCAGGGCAGGAAGTCTCGATCTCCGTGCCTTCAGGTGAAGCCTGAGAGGTGGGGTTGGGCTGGGAGGAGGAGGAGGAGTTTACAGATGATTCTCCCATGTGAGTCTCTGCACCTTTGCCCTGAGGAGTGGTCAATGAGTTATCTGATGTAAGGATTCCCTCTGGGACAGGGAGGGCAGTGGGAGGCATGTTTTCCTGGGGGGTGTTCCCTTCATTTCCCTGAGCGTTCTGTCTTAATTTCTTTCTGGCTGCGTTTTTACGCCCCATGCTGTTGGCCTCTGTTTGTTCTTCAGATTCAGCTTCTGACTGTGAGTCTTGAGGTGATTTCAGTGACACTCCCACTAAGGCACTGTAATAAAGATCTGCACCTTTAGCAGGACTCACATTTGTCCTTTTGATCTCTTCACTTTTTGAACTCGAGTTCAAATCAAAACTTGATGATGACGGCCCCTTTCGGAGGATTGTTATGTCCTTTTTTGTAACTTCGGTGCGGACAATTTCCTGTCCAGCACAGGTCTCTTTGCCGCTGTGAGTCACCTCGGTATCCTCCAGGTACACATGGAGCTTCCTGCCTACATGGACCTGTGGCTGGGTGTGGACTCGATCAGAGTGCCGGACCACTCCCTGCTTAGAAGAGGAGGAGAGATGTGTCAGATGACTGGTATTCTTCTTAGGATTCCCGCTCTCTGAAGAACGGTTGCTTCTCTCCTCCCTCTGCCCTTTTCTCTCCTGCCTGTACTCCACAAACTCCTCCTTTTTTGAACCTCCTTCTGCTGTCTCAGTGCTGCTTACAATAAAGCCGTCTCTGTGGGCAGACTGTGCGGCGTGCCGTTCTTCATGGGGGGAAATGTCCCTGGAGAGAAAGAGTGGATTGGGATTGGAGCTCTGTTCCTTCTCCTCCTCCCACTCTTGATTCTTTGCCCGGAGTCTCACAGGCCGCTCACTCTCCTCTTCTCCCTCTGACTTAGGAGCCTGGTCGCTAGTTGGGGAGGCATTTCCAGTGGGACTCGTCTGACTATTTCCCTTCCATGGAGAGAGCCAGCTCCCGATACGGCCCAAGACCCCGGTGCTCTGCTGCTCTTCAGGGCTCTCAGACTAAATAAAAGGCAGAGAATAACTCACATAAATATCTGAATACACATGCAGTGAAAGTTAATAAACATGCATATTTTCAATACATATGCGCAAACTTTAGTGGAGCTGACAGTATTAACACGTGGTTGTGCAAATATGTTAAACTTGCCTACAAAGGAAGGGAAGGCAGGCTTGGGATCTAAAGTAAATATAAGTAGAAGTTTTCCCACAGACATTTTTTAGTAGGGCCATGCATCTGTCAGCATAGCAAATACATGCAGTGCTTATAACCTGTAAGCTTACCGTAGAAAATACCATATCATTCAGATTCTTTATGTAGGATGTGAACATGATTATGGTTTAGAACAAAAACTCCTAAAGAGCATAAAACAAAAACAAAATCATTCCACCAGGAAAAACAACTACAGTGTTAAAAAGCAGAACATGACCACAACAAAGATATCCTCCGTAAGCAAAGTTATAGATCCGTCGTTAACTCTTTTACTTTTAGCAATTCTTTTTGGCAGTAGTTTCAAGTTAAACTCACCCTTAATAAGACACAGAAGAAAACTTTTGGCCCCCCTTCAAAATATAAAGCGCTGTAAGTTTGTAGAGGAACAGAGCTGCGCTAAGCTGCATGTCTAACTGATGAGCATGTTGTGATAAGTCCTCCTTGCATCCAGTGAAGCATCCACAACAGGGCAAACTGTGGCATCGTAGATATTGGCGCTGTAAAAGTTCTGCCCCTGCAGCGGAGCGCACGCAGACTAGTGGTAAAACGACGCATTCAAGTGCCCGTCGTAAAATGTTGTGTCAATATATGAAGCTGGTTACTCAACAGGTGGTCTGACCGGAGTTTTTATTATCCTAATGACTTAATCTGGATACACATATGTATTTTTAATAACATTTTACCCTCCGAGTTAAAAACTAATCTTAAAACGTTTAACTACGTCTACAGTAGGGCTGCTTCAATAGACTGTGCTTACATCTAGCTTGAAAACACAGGAAGGGGGAAATATACTGAAATTGTTTATCAAAGTACAAGAGACTCACTCTACTCAATCATTTTCATTGTATGCACCTTATAACCAACTACACTACATAAGACAGGCACATGTTGTACTTTTTACTCTATTCCAGGCTTTAATGAGCAGTTCCTTTCAGATTAGAATAGCTAATATCACTCATATGTCATATCCAGTGAAAACTATTGATTGAATTTAAATTAGATTTTTTGTGACAAACTACTAGAATGGAATTTATTTTTTTAGCAGTAGTTTAAATAAGCACAGCCATAAAACACCATATTAGTAACATGCAACATAGGCCTATACATTACGTTTAAAGTGATAGATCTTGAAACTCGACTAATTTAAGAATCTATAGTTTGTATGACATATATTGTTATTTTACTTTCAATATTTCTGAAGGTGTTTTTTTTTTCTTATTAAATGTTTTTTCCTAAATGTTTTTTTTTTTTATCTTTAGAGGGGTCACAAGGCCAAGAGTAATTATGATGAATTCTTTTTTCTCCCGTGTTATGTATTTAAAATTGGATGTGGCGTAGTTTAGTTTTGGTTGACCCCTATAATTTTGGTCATTCTTGGCGAACTCCCAACTTTTAAAATATATGTTTTGTTTCAAAGACAAATTACATATGTTGTTTGTTTGTATGTGCAATTCATAGTGTTACTCTCATTACATAACTACTGTTGTGTGTCTCAATGTCTCTGTAGACATATTACAGTAGTGGCACAGCCTCACAAAACATTAAAAACATAACAAGTGGCTGTACCTTTTCCAATTAATACACATTCATCAATACTTCATTAATCTAATACAGTAAAGTCATATAAATTGGATTAGTAATTCTGATTATTTACATAGAAATCAAACATTTGTGTACAGGTTAACTCTAATGTTAACACATCAGCTACGCTCCTCAAGTATCAACGTATCATGTGGCTGTCAAATATGTGAGACACTTGCTAAACCTCAGTGAGTCCAAATTTGACCTTGTAGCAAAAAAATCTGTAGGCCATAAATACAGATTGTTGGAAACCATTTCATTGTAACCAGCTTGTGACTTCTCCAAAGTGGTCGAAAAAAGGCTCATTGTTTCGGATATTTATCCAATGGCATAAATAAACAGGTTTGAACACTGCCGTTTAAAAGTGAGATGCATAGTAGTGTCACTGCTGACTTTACTTTCTGAAGCACCTCTTTCAGTTCGAATGTGTGTTGTCAAAATTCCTACATTTTTGTCAGCAATTGAAGGCAGCAAGAGGCCGTGTCCAAACACATTTTCCAGGGGAAATGACGCAGTCAGTGTGTGGGTTTCAAAGCCTGTTGAATATAGTTTGTACGGTTTTCCAAACCTGTGAGCCCTTGTTTCACTTGGCGGGCAGCTATATTCAGTCTTTCCTTGCAACTTAGTCTAGGAATTTAACCCATTAAAAGATTGTTGTCCATGTAAATAGAGATTATTCCAATTTTTCATTTTAATGAAATAAATTAAACTTTTTTCGGTCTTACTTTTTTCACTATCTATATGGCACATTACCAAGTGCCTTTAGGTGTGGGAGTGGCACTGGTAATTATGGGGTTTTAAAAATAAAAAAAATCATACTTGCTTATTATGTTTGACATTTAACGGTCTTAGCCTACATTGTTATGGTAGATTTATGTTTTCTTAACACCTATAACTGTCCAAAACAGAAATACACTTGAAATCAAATTGTAGGGATATTATTACCCCCCTCGCTAATCTTATATGTAAAGCTTTTTAACAGCCCATCCCGATGGAGGTCTAGGTTTCTACACACACTGCTCTCCATTACACCAACACAAACAGAGGCCCTATCGACCGAAAAGCCCACGAGTCCCAGTTCACATATTTACAGGCACGTCACCAGACACAGAGTGAGATCTTACCATGATAACAGTGTTTCTCCTGCCTTCTGGGTTGTCTCGGGAATACATCGGTCAAATGCAGCCTTCTGCAAAAACCCTCATTCGGAATAAAGCCTTTCAATGCCGCCGCCTGCAGGTAACCTGTCCCTCCTTGCAGGACAGGGGAATCTGCACCGCACGACACTATTAATATTTAGTGCGGTTCAAAATGAGAAAATAACAGGGCTTACTCTTGGAGTTCGCCACATAGATGCCATAGTGACTTCAGCTTTGGAAGTATTATTTGTCTTCCCATGGCATTGACGGCTGAGGTTGAGGTGGAATCTGCCCGGGCAAGGTAACACACCCCGAGGCACCGTGACACAGCGAGCAGCGATGGCGGTTTATTGAGCAACTTTCAATAACAAACAAAGGGACACTATGGGCTGGGGTTAAAGATGCATAGGGTTGTAGGATATTACCATACACAGGATAGAAACTCTTTTGAAAACTCTACATACTGTCCTTAGATGTTTAGTATCTTATCACACTCTAAATATCATTACGAGTGTTATGCATCCTCTTTCATTTAAATCTGTGTTTTCATTTCGAAGGAGGCCTCTTAGAATAACCTGCTGGACCTTTGGTGAAAGATATCACTTTGAGAGCCATTAGTAAAGTATATTCTAAAAACAAAACAAAACCGGTTATTCAAAACACACACTCCCACTCAAGATCAATGCATCACATTCACACACCTGTGTTTCCGCCTTTCTCTCTTGACTTATTGATGTGCTACAGAAGCTGAAACTTGTCTCATTATTCAACCTATGAAAAATGTACAAATCGCCTTTTTCTTTTCTCATGGAAAACCGCAAACAACTGTAAATGTTGACCATTTGCAGGCTTGTAGGCTATTCCCAGTGGAATCTGTCCAGACATTATTTCTACTTTAAGCAGAAGGAAATTGTTCTGGGAAATTCTCCACTACAAGCAGTGTTTGTGTGCTCTATTGTGCCAGTGTTTGGAGGCAACATGAAAAGGATGCCATATAACAAATCACTCAGAGGAAGCACATTTTGAAGCTAATTAAAAACATAAGTGGATTTGTTTGTGCTGCAGAGCAAAACCTGGAGGAAAATGCCCCATAATGTCTCCTCACCTCTGCTGGCTCCAATTATTAACCTCGATTAGCTCTAGAGCTTTTTATACACTGAAAAAGCAAAACTCTTGGGGGCTGAGACACACATTTTTACTGAACTACTTTAGTGGGCTCCAGTTATGTTTTGCAGTGTAATTAGAGGTTTTATAGTTTTTTTTCTTGGTTCATCCAGGGATATGTTTTACAGCATGAGCAGAGAATTGTTTTCAGCACAGCCCTCTGTTAAATGTATACAGTTACAGACATGCTTACCTGGCAGCTGCTCACTGCAAGCGGTCTCCTTTTGTTACACAGAGCAGCTCCACTGGATGCATGTGTAAACAGCTGCTTTGGTGTTGTTGAGGGAGAGAGAAAGAGGTATCCATTCTCTGGATGTAGCCAGACTCTCTTGGCTTGGCAATACTTTTGAATCAACAGTCAGCTGGGGCCAAGTGTCAACCCTCTGAAGTTAGAAGTTAGAAAACATTTCAGGCTGTGTTGTGCCCAGGCCCGGTTCCAGAACAAAATTACTCAGAGTGCATCTGAGATTAGAGAGGGTGCAGTGGTAAAGTGCTATTTTTATAAGTGGGGAGTGGAACTAACAGCTTCTAGGGGGGTCCTCACCTCCTCTAGGACGGTCCTAAGGGGGTCCGGGGGCATGGTCCCCCGGGAAGATTTTTTTTAAAATATTGAAGCTAAAACCATCAATCTGGTGCACTTTGAGAGCAACATGAAGAGATGGAAATATGTGCTCTTTGCTTGATTCATGCCTTCCCAGTCACTTATCACCTATAAGAGCATGGCGCCAGTTGTTGTAGCCAGTTGTGGTGAAGGCATCTGACTTACTTGAACCGAAATGTCTACATGCATAGCAGAAGATGGCATCTTTTTTACATGAATATTCCAGCCAATCTCTGTTTTGAAACCATGAGCTGCAAAATGAGCGCCTTCCCCCACTGCACAGGCGAGTTGGGTACTTTTTTAAACTTAATACCTGGGCAGGCTCTGTTTTCCCGAGGTCCTCTGGCACTTGTGGGCCACCGAGGGGTGGCGGTGCTTGGGGCAACGAAGACGGCTGCGGCTGCTCCGCCTCCGTGGGCGAGGCGGGCAAAGCCGGCGAGTCGGGCGTTAGTGTCCACGACAGTGGCCGCGGTAACGTAATGTCCCCATGATCTGAACTGTTATTACCTGCAGTAGATGCAGTGTTACTGCTGGCAATAAGGTCTTACTGTTTAAATTGACCAAATAAATGCAGCAGACAATGTTATTCAACCACAATTTATCTTATTTCAACTATATTCTTCTTCTTCTTATAATTATTACTACTATTATTATTATTGTTATTGTACATGTAATATTTTTCACGGACACATGTCTCTTTTCCGTCACCAAGTTAGAGTAGTCTCGGGGACAGTAGCGCACTTTGGAGAGTAAACGTATTTCCAGAGTAATACACAATATTACAAAAAAAAAAATTTAAAAAAACCCGGGGGTTGCACAGACTAAATATGGATACGCGACCCGGCTCAGACAACTATGTGAGAGGTTCTAATTGTCGTCATACTCTGTATGACGGGTTACGCGATACTACGTCCGATGACATCTTTAACGCCCTAGCACGTCAAAATAGGCGAATTAATTACAGGATGTACTGCTTTTCGTAGAGGCATGTTACTGAAATGCTAAATGTCCCAATATCAGGCACAAACTACAACGGACCCACTGCGTTTGGGTTGGAGACGGTTTACTTTGCTCATTATGTGACCAGACCACAATTTCTGCGCCTGATAAGCCGTACTTACGTTAGAAAATCTCTACCATATAACGAGTCTAGAAGGCCAGGAATTCGGGGAGAACCGAGCTGCTCACCCTTACAATAACAAGTAAGACAAATATATACCTGGAACGGCCACGAAAGTCTCAGGAGAGAATCAATGATGTCTACGCGCGGAAGACGACAAGCCCCTAAAGTTTACTCACATAACGGGGGTCGAACGGTACGGGAAGCAGTTGGTTACTGAGACCGATGTGCAGTTCGGGGAGTGCCTAAGGGTATAAAGACGGAGGTTGGTTCCCGTACTAAGTTTCGTTATGTTAGTCTAACCCAATGACAATAGAAGAAGACAGGGTTGGAGGAGACACATGAATACGTTATCTATATATCAACAAGTACGTAATTAACGTAAAAAGAGGTTTAAGGACGTAGAAGTTCACGATTTGCATATTTCGGTTCGATCTTAAGTAAGTACGAGGAGTTCCCGGTTCCTGTGCAGGAGGTGCGTTACTATTTACTGACGGAGGATTGAAACGTGGACACGTTTCCAAATTCCATATTCAAAGTCCGTTTCCCCCAAAGTGGCATATGTACTATTTGCAGTCTACGTCAAAATACCCAAAGAGTCCACCCGCTTATATGTTGTCTGGAGGTGGAAAATTAGGAGGTCGTGTTAGGAGCGGGAATGACCTTAATTGAACATCTAGTTTAAGTCCGGGCCAAGATGCCCCCACGTATTCCCACGTAACGTGGGAGTCAAAACTCAGCAATACGTGGGAGTAAAACTTTTTACTTTTCACTTCTCTTTTTT